ATATATATATATATCGTATCTAACAATAAAACATAAAAGAATTTATATAATTATTTAGCATCGGCGTTTGAGCTACAGTCGACACGCAGTAAACGATCGCGATTTGTCAACACAAGTCAATTACAAAATGCACATGAATATCCGACGGATGATGGGAGAACACAAGCATCGCCACAAACGCAGCAAAAAGTTGCTCAAAGTAAGAATCAATTAGTATTTCAATCGTTTCTCATATCTTTAATTTCCACATTTTTTCTTTCTCATTTACTAATTTCGATTGTATAGGACGGCAAACAAAATCATGTTAGTTTCCCAGAATTTCAACAAAACGGCTCGACAAAATTATTTACGCAAGGTACGTGTAAAATGTCGCGGATAATTAATCTTGCTTGGAGATTTCGTTATTTTTTCATGAATTCTCATGCAATAGATTACATCAATGGCGTGCTGTACGAGTTAGAAAACGGAGAAACCTCAAAGCCTTCCAGCAAAGAGGATTTGGATTCGGCGATCACATTCACTGCACGAACATCCGGTAAGAGAACTTTTGTACGAATTATTGAATTAGTCGAAAAGTTAAATCAGAGAGTATGTCGACACGAATACAGCGATAAACGATCGAGACATCAAGAATAAACGATCTTTTTTTTGATAGCCAAAATTATATCTCTCGCGATACTCACATACACACATATATATATATATTATAATATGTGTGTACTTAATTGCTTTTTCAAGAAAAAAAAATAGCTGCATAACTAATAAATTTTAAAATCTCTAAACGGAAGATTCGCCCAATGTAAACGCAGACAATCAACACGCTACCACAGCTACTACGTCGATGGATACAATAAATATGGACGAAGGAGATTTGAGAATAGGACGCGACGGTACGTTCTCGCAAAGAGAAAGAAAAGAGGCCAAGCGTTGATTTTGTGTTGCTCCACGAATCGTTCTCTTTCTTTTTGCGTATATTTTTATATATTGACCATCATCAAACGTTGACTTTGCATTGTCGCGAATTGTTTTCCTTTTTTTGCATATTTCTTACATTGCTGGCTATTATTTTTCGAATGCCTGTTTGTCTTTCATTTAGAGAGATTGAAACCGGCATAATTTTGATGGATTGGGATCTTTTTGTATCTACAGTAACGAAAAGATTGCATTCTTGCCGAAATCATAACGGTTTCAAACTCCGTTTCGGTACTCCCTTTGAAATTATCTGGCATCTGCGATATTTGATTTAGGCGCGGAAGGTTATAGGGTAACCACCCCCACGGCCACGGAAACCATGTTACCGTGGAAACGTGAGGACGATTATGAGTCAGGTCATCCGATCAAGCAGAACGAATTTCCAGCTTGGTGCTCCAATAAGGAATACCTCGCCTACAGCTCGCCCTCCGCCACTTTCTTAGGTAAAAAATGAGGACAGATCGATTAATTACTAAATATTAATTTGCTATATCTTTTTTATAAAAATGCAATGACTATTATAAAAACCTTCCGATATAATATCATAATTGTGTCATATATTTTCTTTCAAAGAAAGAGGAAATTTCATGAAAATTCTTTTTTCCAAAATAAAAAAAGAGGATCACTTAAAAAATGTTTGACACTTAAGAGAGCTTACTGTCATCTGTTTATTACCAGCGATGTCCATTATGTCTTTCCCTTTTTTTAGGTGGGATCGAACAGCCGAAAGTCCAATCCGTGATTGGCCTATTTCGACGTGAGAGCGTGTGCACACCCGACAGTATCGATTGCCAGGAGACTGTCGACGAAGCTGACGAGACGGACGAGTACACTCCCGCGAAAATGGATTCCCCCGTTAAAACCAAGGGTACGTGACGCAAAGCGGAAGGAGGGTACGTGTGTTGTTTTTTCTTTTTTCTTTTTCATTTCCCTTTTTTCTCACATGTATCTCGAGCGAAACGAATTAAGTATACTCTATCCTATATCCGTTCCAACCGCGTAGAAGAAGTGCTCTTGACCGAAATATATTGTCGGCGCATACGTCTTAATGTTCCAAGAATTGCGTATTTAAAAAATAATCATAAATTAGAATCATAGTTTTAAATAAGAAATAAATAAACTTGAGCGCCCGAAAAAATGCGCGAAGACACAAAACGTTGAGAACCTCTGGACGTATGCTATTTTTTAATGCGTTCTGACGGGCGTCACTCATATTGCGTTGTATATATGTATGTACATCCGGGGCTATTTTTACGAGCAATTGCAAAATGAGTATCGACACGAAAGCCGCCCACAACTTGATAACTGCTAACTATTTTACTACAGATTGTTTTTAAGATGTATTGCATGCATGAATGTCTAATGATAAATTGAATTGTAGAAATCTGATCTCTCCGTTGCAAATTTTATTGCGTGATAGATATTAATGTTGTTATGTAACGAAAATAGTCAATAGTCTTCTTTACTTGTTTTTCTGTATATAAACCCAGTTTTTTAGATCTAGTTTTTTATATAAATATTGGTGTCCGCTACGATATATCTGCGATAGCCGTGGCGAGGACATATTGATATCTTCTAATGATTAAGTTTAGCATCTACTTAGTGTCTAGCCTGAGATATTCAGTTCCTATGATATATCCATTTTATTATCCCAGTATTTATTTTTAAATCGATCATAGCGGAAACGAAACATTAGCCTACATTATGCTAATATTAAATATCTAAGTTAAAGTTTGGAAACAATAAAAATGTTAATATTTTTATTATTTCCAAATATAAAAATGTTAACATTTTTATTGGAGCTATTATGTGTTAAAATTTCTTTAACACATGAGCACTTGGCCAAGACGCTGCTCGTGAAAGCTGCGGCTTTCTCGAACACAAATGAAACTTACCAGCTCTTTCTTCAGGCAAGCCGAAAGTCCCCGCGAGACGGAGGGTGTCGATGATGGAGCTTGGCTTCACCGAACGGACGCACTCGCTGGACAAGGCGGCAGCGGACGACGGTTCTCATTCCTTGCCAGAATGCTGGAGCGCTCAGAGGATGCGTCTTAACTCTTTCGCCTGCTCGTCCCAGATGCCGAGCCTGTCGACCGCCCTGATCACCTCCTCCACGTCGGAATCGTCCGAGGACGTGGACGACGAGGAGGAAGATGAGAGGGCTTGACCCTTGGGGGCCGTCGCCGAGGAGCGACTGTCCGTCTACGCGGACGTCGAGCGTCGACGGCGTCGACCCTTTCGACGACCGCCGCGACATTCGTTGCTCACCGCGCTTCTGCGACGCCCAAGTGCCCCCGTTTGAGAGGACCTGCCCTTGACAAGCCGCCTTTTGCAGGAGGAAACTTATAGCGAACCTCGGCCCGAATCTCGTTGATGCGTCCTGCTCTGTAATTATGTAAAATCGCGAGAAGCGAGGAAGAAATTTCAGAAAAGACGACGTGCAACGGGAGATGACGAAAAATGCGTCGATGTTTTCGATTTGGATTTTGTACGAGAAATATATTTATAAGGAAACGCGAAAGTTCGCGCTGATTAGAAAAAGTTTACGCGCGGTGAAAGAGAAAAGAGAAGAAAGATATTTTTCTAAAAGTTAAGTAATAAATTTCTCCGCTTTTATAACACAATAAATAATCTCATTAAAGCGGGATCTTTTGCTTGCGTTAGATATTCTGATCGTTACGCGAATTCGAAGGTAACAGAATGATAGATATACGAAGATAGGAAAGTTTCAATAACCGTTATTTATCCTGCAAAAAAAAAAATCATTCGCGAAAACAAAGGTGCTTGTCGAGAGCAAGGGCTTATTTCTAAATCCGTCTGTAAGGACTATCTTGGAATCGTGGCCTTAAGGACTGTGGAAGTACTTGAACGCCGATGATCTGCACGCGCTATCGTCGTCGTTGTAGTCATCGGCGCAAAATTCTTTTGTCGGTGCTATCGGTAAATATCTTGTAGAGGAATCATTGCGCGGCGCCAATGACTTGTCCCCAAGATTTACCACGAGTTCCTTCTCTCGGAGGTTGATCTGATGATGAGCTCACACCGCGATCGCATTGTCCGATCATCGCTGCTGTGTGCTTCGCGACTTAAGCTGTGGCCAGACTATCAACTTGCACCTGGTGCAATTTATCATTTGATTAAGTGAAATTACGCATTCATTTCACTTGTGGACCAAGTTGCTAGTCTGATCGCAGCTTCTAGCATTAGGTGTGTTGCGTCGTTAGCAGTCCCGTTATCACGGTTTTTGACGCATGTACGCACGCATGCATGACACGCAGTGGTACGTCGCGGTATAGATGATTACCCATAGCGGCGCATCTCCAGTCGAATTTAGGAAATTTCTTTTTAAGCGAACAATTACGCGATATTCAGTCAACTACCATAGAACCAGCGCGAGTGAGATGCATAGCAGGTGTGCCGTTCTCCCTTCGAGTATGGCCTTAAAAAAAAAATTTCCTGTAAAAAAATGGATACTCGTGTAATACGGTGCATGTGATGCGTATAATACACTGTCACAACACATTGTTAATATCGACACCACGGCACCATTTGGTCAATATTTAGCGAAAAAAACAGCAGCATGTACATACAAATTTTCTTAGAAAAAGGTATGCTAGAAAATTGTCGGCATCCTCATCGTCATTTTCTCAATAACATCCTCATCCTTACTATTTTTGTTAACGTTTAGTATTATTTCGTCGCTTCAAAAAGAGAAAGAAAAAAAAAAGAGACACAGAATGCGACCATTAGAATATTCGGTATTCTAGTTATTATTGTTACACTTGTTACTCTATCTCGCTAGTGATGATACTAGTGCTACTAATAATCAATAATGCGATTATATAGCCATCGCTCGGCGCAGGCAGGAAGCGGAAACGCGTCGAGTTCTGCTACATTTCGAAAGTCGAGGGGAACATCGACAGAAATGTTTGATAACTGGAGATAATTGATTTTGATTATAAAAATATTGTCGAAAATATTACATAATGAAGTTATATTAAACGAGATCATCTCGTTTGTGGTGGAACCTTGTCATCAAGCGTCCCGAAAAATTTTACACGCATCAAATGAAATCGCGATCTTTCTCAATTGTTTTTCGAATCACTTATAACGATGAACGGCAATCTTATTAACGTCATAATTAGCTTAGCCTTTTAATAAAACTGGACCCTTTTTAATCTTTGACTATCACTCCATGATCCTTGGAGACATTTTTATACGCTTATACTTTTTTCTAGACAATATCGCAGAGCACTTAATTGAGCATACATGATCTCTGATATTGAACCACTTTCGCACAAGGATGACAGGGTAATATAAGTTTGCTTTATCAAAAAAAAACAAATAAAAAAATGGAAAATCTTCTCCGACGATGATTTTGCACGGATATATTGGGAGTTCCCCTCGCATGGAATATTCCTCGCGGCCTTTAGTTACTTAGACCGAATAAAAAAACGTCAGGCTAGTTTTTAGACGCTAGTCTCAACGCTGTTGATTTGTTAAAAAAAGGAAAATAAATGTTTATTTCTTAAAAGACCGTTACACATGGAAATTTTTATTTTGCACATATCGCTTACCTGTATTATCTTCTTAAAGTAGACTGCCCTCTCTCTCTCGCCAACAATGACACTTGAGTGCTGGACAAACTTTTTTTAAATCCTTATAAATTCTCTCCTTTTTTCCTTCTTTGCTGATATTCTCCTTCCTGAAAAGAAATAAAAATTATGAAATATAAAAAAATTGCAAATCCTTTTTTAATTAATAATTCTTCAAACATTTTTAAGCAAAAATATTTCTAATTGTAAATAAACCTCTCTCGAATGCAGTTCCACGACCATCTAAAGACAGCATCGAAGCCGTCGTTACTCACTTAACAATTACGAGCCAGGCAATAAAGTAATTATCGTTAGCTAATGAAATTGGTATCTTTGATCTTCTAAAGATCGTTCCAGATGAAACGAAATAGAAAAGCCCTGACGGCCGTACGATATTGATCGAGTGAGTGATTTTTGCGCGATAAAGTTTCACCAATTATACGGAACAAACATGCCCGGGGGTGTCGTATTTTTGGTCTGCATTCCCACCCTGAGCTACGAGCACGAACTTGTGTTCGGTGTGCCGCTGAAACGTTCCAAGAAAATGGAAAAGATCAAAAATAAAATCGCAGCATCGCCGAAGGTGGATCTGCGTCTGAAAGAAGTGAAAACGCGCGCGCAATTGCTTTCAATCGACGACGATCACGGCCACGTTGATGATGAGGACGACGACGACGATGACGAGGACGTCGGCATCGGTTCCAGAAAACGTATTCGCGGATACCCCGCGCGATCGAAAACGCCAGTTTTCGTGTCGATGGAAACGGTAGAATATAGAAAACATCATTATCAATTATTATAGAATTATACAGAAATTGTGTTGTCATATTTTTCAATCAGACATATATATGTATACTTATAGCTATAAATTCCATATTTCTTTTTGACTTGAATTTCGATTATACTCGAATTCATCTTTAAAAAATAAAAATCAGATATTGTTCTTAATTCGATCACAAATTAATAATTATAATTATCAAATTATTTGTTTTACTACGTGCTGTATTCCATCGCAGGTGCTGGAAGAACTCCTTAAAAAGCTGAAAGTAGAACACGTTGTATGGTGCAAGGATAAAGAGGATATGTATTATGAGGTATAGAAAAAATTGTAAATATTTCTTTTCATTTGATCATTTCTAAATGTTTGTGAATCCAAACGAAACTTTCCGGTGGAAGGTGATATTTCCGGTTCCCGCTGGCGAACCCTGTGAAAATTGCATACATTGCCTCACCGAAATGGGTATCGGCGTTAAAATGAACTCGATAGTAAGGTGATTTTATGCTGAGCTGAAGAAATCGCACATACGAATGATTAAGTTCAGTATCATGATGATATTGGTTGATATTTTTAGTGTAATCCCGACGCAATGTACATATAGTGGTATGAGCGCTGCAGGATTGTCGGCTGTCAAGGACGACGTTGCTCGCAGGTTTCTCTAATTGATTCTGTTAATGAAATTAACATGAAAGTAGAGTTACATTATTTGTAACATATTATCCGACATATATACGTATATATTTTATTCCGTTTACAGACGGAAGGAATCGGAAGATCGTAAGAATGCTTGGGACGCTTTCGTAGAGTCTATCAGATCGAAATTGACAGTGAAACAGGTTGTCGATGGCGTTCGCAGCGGTGGTGATCTTACCTTCGATTATGTGCTACTAGTATTAACCGCGGAGTAAGAAGACACAAAAAATATTACTATTGATTTTTTATATATTTATTTATTTTTAGATAAAGAATTAATTAGAAATACGAGACAGTTTCCGGTAAATTTATCCGCATCTAACATTCGAAAATTTTATTATTACGCAATGCTGTTATATAATTATCAAATGATTATGAAGATATAGATTACCGTATTACTTCGATAAATAAATTCTGGTAATAATCGCGCGTAACTCTAACTTGTAAGAATTGCAATCTTACAGCTGTCTTGCTGCACTCGGTCTTGTTGAGAATAACGCGCCTAATGTCGTTGCTGCCATGCTAGTTTCTCCTCTCATGGTAAAATTCTTTAATACAACATTACTAATTATTCGTTTTCACATTTCTCTGATTATGTCGTCTCGTTAATCAAAGGGACCTGTAATGTCCCTGACTTTTGGGACTATCATAGCCGACAGAAACCTGCAGATGGTCGGCCTAAAGAGCTTAATGCTCGGTATTTTTCTATCAATACTCTTCGGCTTCATATTCGGTCTTATCCTCGGTACAACCGAAATGCCTTGGGGCTATAATGATTGGCCAACCGAAGAGATGAAGGGTAGGTACGTATCGTTAAAAACGATCAGATACATTGTTATTGATCATGCAATAACTTAGCTACATATATGAAGCTTTCAATTATAATCGGATCGTTATCATAAAATTTATCTAAATAATATTTCTTCCTATAGAGGTAATTATAGATCGCTCTGGATGGGTGTTCTTTGGGCTCTTCCATCTGGCACAGGCGTCGCAGTCGCTCTACTGCAAGGTAGCAATGGACCATTAATTGGTGTCGCCATATCGGCTTCATTACTGCCACCAGTTGTTAACTGCGTAAGAGATCGCATATCGTAGAAAAAATTTAAGTCTATACAATGGGTCGATACAATGGGTCTGTTTTTTATAGTTGAACTGGCTGCACTAGTTAAGAGCTTATCTTTCTTCTTCCAATGTGGAGAGAGAAAAATAAATTCTGAATTAGTGCAATCAGTTCAGCTATAAAAAACAGACCCAATAATTCCAATTACAAAGATATCTCGTTTCTCTTTTTTTTTACTAGAATAGTTATTTTACTAGGATGATTTTTTTAGTAGGATGATTATCAACGAGTAACAATCAATATTGATCGGAAAGACACATATTTATTTCTTGTAGGGTTTATTTTGGGCTCTGGGATGCATATGGCTCATATATCGGCCTATAAAAATGCCCCACATCAAAGGCGAATCTTATACGGATTTTAATAGTTCGTACACATACATCTACAGCGATTACTTGCCCGTAGAATTCTTTTGCAACGGCATTATCAGCGCATGTCTGACATTTATCAATGTAATGTGCATCTTTATTACGGCGATAATAGTCTTGAAGGTAACTAAGTTAGCACGCGATATAATGACTGATAATAGCCGAGAACACAATCAGAAATTGCCGCTATAGTTTGCCACGCTTTCGTTACGTCACCGCGATAAAATGTATATACATAGTATTAATTGCAAGCGTATTAATTATATATACTGTATTAAATGCAAAATTTCATCGGCAAAATATGTATAAGCTACATACTATATTGATACAGCGCGCGACAGTCTATCGATTTTTTTTTTTTTTTAATACATTACGCGTACTTTATGCACTTTCTTATCATATACGTGCCAGTTATTTTTAACGACATAATCATTCGTTCACAACCGCAGATTAAAGAAGTGGCCGCACCATACACATCTACACCGGAATTGCGTCGGTTTTGGGAGCACGACATCCGTTTGGTTCGCGATAAGAATATCTCTAGAAATAACAGTTCTTTGGATTCAAGGTAAAGAAAAAATAATCCCGAATGTAAATATCAAAGTTATGACATTATTCAATTCACACTCTGTTCATTTGAATTAGTTTCTACGATGGATTGAGCAAAACCAAACAACGAGCGCTAGAACGCACGTTGAACGAAGCGGTTAGAGAAGCGATGAACGATGAAACTTTCCGAAAGGTGCAAAGGCTCAGTTATGGGCAACACGGACCGGAGGAGGTACTGCAACATTCTTAATTCATTCATTAGGATTTTTAAATAACGCAAACTTACTTTTTAATGTTTAAATTATTATCAAAAATATATAAACTTTCATGATAAAAAAAAAAAATATTGCAGATTGGATCACGATTTGGTCTTGGTCGTGGAACCGCAAATAGAGGCAACGTAAAGAAAAGCGATAGTGTCGAGGAGATAGTAGGCAAAGATCTGCACAAAGATTTAACGAATTCTGGCAATACGAGTGAAGATTTGGCCGCATTGGACCGTTTGATAACATACCTTCTGAGCCCAAATAATCCCCCTAATAGCAATTTAGATTCGTGGAGACGTTCTCATCGAGCTAGTTCACGAGGATATAGACAATTACGTGGCACTGCCGCCGATATCGAAACTGGTGGTATTGGTACAACACCTCTTTGAGTATAAGTAGATATCTAAATAAAAACCTCAACATTGCACAAATAACAATATAACAAGTTTTTAAATTTGAAAGTAATATATGCTAAAATAAAACCTGCGACAAGGATGGAATACATACAAATGTTTATGTAACGCACTTTTTATTAAAGATATAATAGATTATTTTGATATTTGTATCACAATTTACACAACATACTGAATATATGTAAGTACTTTAAATAGAGATCTATAAGCTGCCTTAATCATCAGATGGTTCGGTGCCAAAGTATCTATCGCCAAAATTTCCAATGCCAGGCAATACATAGAACTTTTCGTTTATCTCGGGATCCAACGCGGAAGTAACGATCTTTACTCGCGGAAAAGCATACGCGATAGAATGCACGCCAGATTCCGCCATCAGCAACGATGCCAACAACACGTTTTCCTCAGCAACATCATGATCTAATAGCACTCTGATCGCCATGATAGCGGCAGCACCAGTTGCAACAGTAGCATCCATCAATATTACTCTATAGTCTTTGATATCCTTTGGTAATCGAAGATAATACAACTATGCGCAAGAGATAAAATAAATTAAGTTTTGTAATTAATTATGTAAAAAAAAAAGTTTGCACAAATACTTACTTCGGGTTCGCCAGTCTGTTGATTAGTTTGAATAAGAATCTTTCCTATGCGTATGTCCTTACACACGTCTCGAACAGCCTGTTCCATGGTTTCGCCGGCACGCAATATCGACACGCCACATATCTTGTCTGTTGCACTCCGCTTGCCGCCATACAACACTCCTTGTGGCGTCTCGACAGTTACGTCCTTCACATAAAAACGATACGCTGTGAGATATCCAACTTCTCTTTAAGTATAGATAGATAGAAATTTGAACAGCAAATTGAACATTTATTAGCAATATGAGAGTATATTAATTAAACTTATCAAAGCTTACTTAGGCAGCAAAAAAAACAATAAAATCACGCGTACATATTCACCTCAAAAGGCAACAGAGACAATGCATATTCGATGACCAGGCGGATCAATCGCTTGGAATAAAAAATAAATTCATCTCTATATGTCTCCTTGTTGCGTATAAATGTATGAAGACCCTTTATCTGCGGCGTATCCGGAAGTAAATACAATGATGAAGGCAACGGTTGACCAATGTACGAGTGCGCTAGTTTCTCCCTCAATTTAAAACCTCTCTAAAAGTGATACAAACAAATCGGTAGCATAGATAACAATCCTATAAACAATATTCTTATAAAACAAAGTTAAATGAAAACTGGCAAATTGGTTTTACCAATTGAAGTTGAGTGTGAACATGTTGTACAATAAGTTCTATCGCCACTTCATTATCTCCACCACGTGGCACAATGATATCCGCATGAACCATAAGAGGCGCTATATAATAATAAAAAGCCGGCTGCACATGTTTACTATACTGTTTCAATACACCCTCCAGATCTCTGCCTCTTTGCGAAATATCCCTCCGTAAACGTCTGGCCAGTCTAACGTCCGCATCGGTATCGACAAAAACTTTCATGTCGCACATCTTGTGAAATGTTTATTTACTTTGTTATTTTTTATCTTTTGTATTATGCACTATTTAAGTTATTTTTTTATTAGCTTACTTTCAATACGTCGACATTGTAGAAAGTGAGTATTCCTTCGAAGATAATGACATTAGCCCCATACATGGTTTTCTATCAGAGAAAATAAGAAAACAACTGTACAAATTGTGTTGATTGTGTGCACAGAGAATAAAAAAAATAGCAACAAATATGTCAACTTACTGTTCTACTTTCCCTGCGATGAGTTACAAAATTATAAATAGGAACTTCTATCATGCGTCCTTCCTTCAATCGCTGCACCGTGGTCTTCAGAAGCTCGAAATCAAACGCATCAGGATGATCAAAATTGTACTCATTGTGCGCGGCCATCTCGTGTTGCTTCTCGTTTAACACCTGTATTCGATAATGTCTATTGCATTATCGAATTATTTCCATCATACTAATGATAAACATGCTAAATTGTGTGTGCAAAAAGATATTTTTACTAAAATCTATTGATAAAAATGTTTAACGCACTTTATAAAAGGAGTCCATACTAAGGAGAGTCACCCATGGCACGTCTAGAGATTCTATAATTTTAGTTGCAACTGTTGTTTTCCCAGAAGCGCTGCCTCCACAAATACCTATCGCACACAAATATTTTTTAATATTACAAAGATTAATTTTTATTTTACATAAAATAATAAATAATTTATATATCATACACATTCAAAGATAATTAGAAATTAATAATTTTAAATAAATTAACAATAAATATGACTATACTAACCAATTACAAAAGGTTCTACTTGTTGACCAGCTGAATTGTACCAAGGAGGTCTACCAGCTGTATAAATGGTTCGTGTTTTGCTCCTGAGGATGGATTCTGCAGATGTCTTCTTACTTGATTGTGACATGCTGGTAGTGCGTTGTCTACGTGATCGTGGCGATTTTTGTGAACCTATTACAATTATATAATAAATTTGTTCTTGCTCTTTTACACTTTTGATTATAATTTTTATATACTAATCAATACTTCTTTCTCTAAAATATTAATGTAGTTTTATATATATATATATAATTTTATTTTTATT